ATATTGTAAATATAGAAGAATATCTAGCAAAAACTTTTTGGTTTGAAATAATTAAAAGAATCAAAAATAAATTACAGGACTACTCTTTCATTCAAAGAAAAAATTCTAGCATCTAATACATTACTTATCTCTAAAATATAGTATCTAGCCTACTTACTGCTATCTACAAGAAAACAACAAATAAAAAACCTTTTCTAATTCACTTTTGGAATTTATACTAAAAACAAAATTTTGGTATAATTACAACTCAATTTCTTTTAAAACTTCGATAAAACAAGGACCTTAATGCTCAGAAAACACAAACATATTACTCTAGACATAGGTAAACAACCAAACAACAAGAAGACCAGACTTTCTTCAAACAACAATAAAGTTTTCAACTTTACAAAAACTAAAAAGAATAAGAAAAACAACAAGATACTTGACAACCAAAGCAATAACAGTAGTGATAATATCACTAAACAAGAGACAAATGTATTAACAGACTTGACTCTTAAAGAGTCTAACACAAACTGGGCAAACCAAGTAGAAAAAGAAGAAGCAACTACAAAAAGAAACGAAAATGAAAACTTTTGCAATCAACAAGAGATACATATAAACAATAAACAAAAAGAACATATGGTTACAAGTGACCAATCAACTTCTGCACACCTAATTACTCTGGTTGAACCATTCTTGTATAATATATCTGAGTCACAAGGCTTACAAGGCAATCAAAATAGAGGATCCAAGCCCAAATAGTGGTCTGAACTATTTGCAAAACTAAGAGAAAGAAAAGCAGTTTATACTATATCTACTCCCAGACAAAGAATTCACTCTAAAAATGAGAATACACTAGTAGTAGATATTAAAAACCTAAATAATATACCAATTAATGATATTATTGCAGCTCTAGCTATGAGCTTAAAAGAAGATCTCATAGCAGCAAAAACTTATACTTCAAGGGAAAAAAGAACCTATCTGGAACTTGTTCTTAAAGATAAAGAAAAAGTACAATACTATGCAGCTAAAGGTATTTCTTTCTTCAAGCAGATACTGTTTGGATATATTCTAGTTAATCTCAATTAATCTTTTCTAACTCTAAAAGTAAAAAACACCTCTATGGGCAAAACCAAATATATTAGCAACCATATTCTAGAAGCTTTTCAAGATATTGGTCAAATAGCATCCATTAAGCTTCTCTTCTACAAAGAGACTATGGTCTGCTCAGATTAATGGTTAATTACTTTTGAAACTACTAATGATCCAGAAATTGCTTCAAGAATTTCTAGAACTATACATGTTGGCAATTATAAAGTAACAACTAAATGAAAAGAAGCTCCCAAAATCTGCTTTTATTGTGAAAAAAAAAAACACATTAAAAAAGATTGTAAAGAGCTTAAAATCTTAATAGAAACTAGATGCCTTCTTAGAGAAGCCAAGTTTCGATTAGAGAAAAAAAAAACTTAAAAATTAGAGGCTACAAAAATTAACTTTAGCTCTAATAACCCATATAAGAATGATATAAAAGAAGAAAAAGTACAAAAACTAAAAACTACAGAAATCAGCTTTAGTTCTAATAATCTATACAAAAATGATATAGAAGAAGTAATTCAAAACAAGGAAGAAACTACAGTTCAGATCTTAACTACAATATTAGAAGAAATCTTTAATCTTAGCAAAAGCTTAGATAGCAATACAGAATTAGATTCTTTATCTATTTTTACAACCACAAATTTTGAAACTAATAA